GTGTTGGGTAAATATATGTTCGCTTTCCTCAGCTGAGCTCAGAGGAGTTTCCAAAGCTCATCTCAGAAACAATTTTTTCCATCAGCACATGTGGTTGACCATGTGCATATCCCCCCACACTGCTATATCTCCAGAACAACACTCCCACATAGTAAAACATCCTTTCCAACCTACTCTACCTCTACGAGCTCTCCTGCTGATCCCCAATTCTCATCCACCACCAACAGCTGTACACATTCCAGCAACCTCGGAAGCTCTCGCGGTCCGCTCACCCGCGCCACAGAGACCATCAGCCGAGCCCAATCTCGTGCTTTTACACCACTGCTCAGCGCCAAGAAGCTCGACAATATCATCTCAGAATTCTCATCATCGATCATTTTCATTTCCTGCAAACCCTCATAGGTCTGCGCGAGTTGGCCAGCAGTCATCGTTGGCACCACGCGGCTCAACTGCTCTTTCACGACCTGCCTCGCCTCTTCATCGCAAAATGGTAATTTCCCCAGAGACGCCGCTGCGATCGGATAAGATACGTTGTCGAGTTCCGATGCTCTCGACTTGACAAAATCGATCAAATTATCAATAACATTTTCGCTGGTGGTTCGCGTTCGAGCAGCAAAGTAGTGCAGTAACATCACAGCATCAAGGCTTGTAGCCGAGCTCAACAGGATCGAGCCCTTTTTCATAGCTAGATCGTTATCGATGGAGTCAACTATGTGTGCGGAGGTTATATTAGGTAGTCTTTCAACGGACCGTAGGATTGTACCTGGTGGAACGATGAGTGTCGTCAGTATTGTAAGATGATGATGCTGCTGTTGCATCATCTAAGTCGTTCTCCGGTAGCACACAATATGTCTCTCTAGGGTGAAGGATTTCCTTAGCTGAGCTTATGATGAATAGGTAGCCTTGTAAGGGATTCTCTAGCGATATTCGCGGTGATATGCAATAGTCGTGAAATATGTTTTTCATATCACTACGGTCGTGAAACTCCATTAAATTCAACACGTAAACCTTGGTAGTTGTAGGAGAGCTGTTGCATCACCTTAGTCGCTCTCCGGTAGCACACAATATGTCTCTCTAGGGTGAGCTTATGATGAAGATAGTCTTCATCCGCTAAGTATGCACAGGTAGCCTTGTAAGGCATTCTCGCGAAATTATATCTAGTGTGGTGTCATCTCAGTGGGGAAATCACCAATAGCATGCAAAAAATAATAAATTTTACACATGTGATGTGATAAAAGTAACCTTTCAAGATTATGATAGCGTCTGCAGTTCCGTTTCGGACATTCGAGCTACCAGGTCACGAGACCCTTCCCAGTAGTTCTGGAATATTTGTGTGTTGTAGAGCAACAAGGAATTCATAAAAGCCATGAAAGTAACCTTTCAAGATTATGATAGCGTCTGCAGTTCCGTTCGGGAATCCGAGACACCAGGTCACAAGACCCTTCTTAGTAATTCTGGAATATTTGTGCATTGGAGAGCCACAAGAAAGCCATGAAAGTAACCTTTCGAGACTATGATAGCGACAGATAGTTGCTCACTATCATTAATCCCGAAAAAATACACATTTTCATACTATCACTTACATGCAGTTCTAGCTGGTATGTGACATAGACTTACTCGCCCGAGCCGCTCGAGGATCTGAAATCGTTAAATACAGTTTCCGACAAGCCCTGAAACCAGCGCGTCTGTGGAGTGCGATAGTGTTGGGAGGATATACATTCGCCTTCCTCAGCTGAGCTCAGGTGTTTGCATACGAATTCGGGTAGAAATATACACAACCCAACAAGAATTTCCCGAAAATTCCTTAAAATTGGCACTAACACATGTAGTGGCGAATAATATTTTTTCACACATTTATCAACAACTTTTCAGAACTAACAAGTATCCTTACCTCGACAACAAGATCATCCAGCATTTTGGAGTTATTCTCACTTCGCATCCCCGCAAGCTTTTGGAGTGTCTGCGATAGTTGAACAGGTTCCCGAGCAGCGACAACCAACTTCGTCAACACCTGGAGGTAAACCAACTCCTCATTGGAGATATCAATTTTTTCAGTGCCAGTGTTAGAGGTATACAACCTCGAATTCACCATAGAAGTGTACAGAAAACCAACAAAAATTTTTCAAATTTTTCGTTATTTTTCCACCATCCGTCTCGCGTCTCCCCCATCGCAGCCTCTCACCATTTCGCACCCCTTCACATCTCCGCTGCGCACAAGTTCGTCGACCTGAGCTTGAGAGTTTCTGAATACTCATTCGAGAGTGATACATCACCTGTCTACTAAGTGCCTTAAAATTCTGCTTGGGTTTACGGACTGCCGGAAACTCCGCTCCGCCTACGAGATCGTTTTCCCAATCATTATCGAATATCATAGACTCACTGGTGCTATGATGCAAGGTGCTCAATCTTAGCCCCACTCGGCGTTCGAATTGTGATGTCATTATATAGCATCAACTGTTCCGAATCAGTATAAGCTCCGTTCCCTAATATTCCCATATATGTCCCGACTCAACCGGTGAGCCAGATGAAAAGTTGTGAGTGTGAAAAAAATATTGTCGCATTAGCGCCCGATAGCGCAGCGCACCACCCCTGGTTGGGAGAATGGCAGTGTATGGGGGCACTACTATCAACCCCAGTATCTAGTAACAATTGGGTAGCTAAGCAGGGTATACTCAAGGTAGTCTTCAACCAGGCAGCAATAGGTGGAGACAGACGCAATTACGACAGTAGAGGGAAAGAGCAGGGTGGACAAAAAAAATCAAAAAAATGCCTCTCCCGAGGATCGAACCATAATGTCTTAAGCATTCGCCGCGATCAGAACCGTCATCGCGACACCCCAACTAGTGTTCCCTACTGCATACTCATTATATAAACTAATGAAGACTGGAACAACGCCAGATCGAAATTTAGTGACGAACTTGACAGCCAGAAACAGCAGTTAACAAAAAGTGATAATAACATGAAACCTGGTCATCTCTCGTTAGTCATCACCGCGGGCAATAATCCTGCTCGTGATGCTAGGAAGTAGTTATCGAGGTAAGTTCAATTCCTGCCACACACCGGAAAAGTACTTCATATTCTAGTATCATAAGATCGCCGTTTCCTATTCTGTAGTGTGGTTTAGGTGCACTCAGGCAAGCAGCCTATGGGAAGGGCCCGGCATTGTAGCCAGTCTCTCCCACAAATATGACATCGGTCGCTCTACTGGCATGCATAGGTCAAACGGACAATGCTCAGTACCCGTGCCCCCGTTGCGGGATCAATGGGTCATCGAGCCAAGTGACTTGGCAATGTCATTGAAGTGAATGGAACCGAATCACTGGGGACTCACCAGTGGTGAGGACAAACCCGTGCATTTCCAGAATTGACAGCATGCCGTAACTCAACGCTCAACTCAAGGAACTGTGGGCGGAAATGAGTGATGAGGTATCATCGGATTCTCACGTGACACAAGCCCGACTACACCACCGCTCCGTATTCATCAAGATGGGCAGGTCATGGCTGTGTTGTGAGCTTATGGCGATTACACAGTCGTCGCGATTTCGAGCATCTCAATTTCCAGACGCGCGAGTAATACGCGCACGAGAATAGTAATTTCCCGGATCTAGCGAGATACTTCGAATGAATACCTCGCGATTTGGTTCGGTCTGTAGTGGGATGAGCCTCCTATAACTGTCCGAAGTCGCTGAGACCACAGCAGTTGTTCCATTCAATGACTATCATTCCTCGTAACGCCATCATGCTCCTCCTCATCTCACCTTCACTCGGTGCTGGTCCTTATGATCAACTCAGAACTCCGGAGGTAATCCGTTCCATTGCAGTTAGTAATGCTCGCGATAGCACCAATAAATCTGACTATGCCCTGTTGCTATGGTTGTGCCTTCAGGGAGGAACTCCCAGCGACTCGTTGGATTTCAGCCAATCGACCCGTTCCGGAGCCGAAGTGAATAGTTCTTCAGCGATCGAGTCAGATGCTTGCATTTAGGTCACTATCACTTCGATCAGGAAACCGAAGGTGATAACGAGTAACACAGGTGCTTTCGAACCTGACACTTTCTGCAACCTCAAATGGCGATCGACAGCAAAGATTCCAGGGATGCATTTCTTGGTGTATCTAGACCGAGCTCAGGGGGCCTTCACACACTTCAATGCTCATTCGGAACCAGGACTCGGCATTCGACGGTTGATAATTAAGTAAGAGAAGACCTCCTCCAGATAGCCTCATCATTCGCTCCTTATCAGCGATGATATGGGCAAGTTGATCGTTAAGGCTGAGGCATATGACGAGGGGTCGGAGAGCTATGGAATTCCGGGGATCGAAGTAGAGGGTGAAGAACGCTCCCGAGCAGAAGAAGCACTTTCGCAAGGAGGCCCTTTCTCACCTCTCGCTCATCTCAAGGGGAAGACCGTGGGGCCTCTCATTACGTCGATCGATTGGAAAGCCGATAGCGAGCAGCTCAAGTGCGACAAGATATTCCACTTCATCGCTAACCATCCCCCTGGAGGATATCCAAAGGGCGACCTCCGGTGGTTGTTCGATTTCGTGGAGGCCAATACAGAGAGGATCCAAGGCATCATCGAGGGTTGGGAGCCGATAAAAAAGAAGAGAGACTCCGAGAAAAAACGTTCCTTACTTAAGAAAATCCGTCAGAGATTCTCCAGAAAGTAGATTCATCAGAGAAAATCTTTTGCTGTCTGTGTGTCCGATCATGTTACAGGTGTGTTATTAAATCGGTCAACGCGTTGAGCTTTTCAAATGCGTAGTTAACAAAGGGAATCCCATTTGTTTATTGGACATTGACTAGGAGCCCGTCGGAAAGTGCTCACTTTAGTGAGTCCGACAACACTCGGAAACGATACCGTTCCCTTCAAAATTCGAGCTTGTGCCCACTCCCAATGTGGCAGTAACATATTCCAATCTGGCTACTCAACTGGGTGCTTCCTCCTCCCGAAATATCACATTCGGAATACCAGTGGGATAGCTGAGATTTCAAGCCATGCGCTGCCAGAATCGATCAGGATATATGAAAATTATCAAAGTCGTCGCGATAATATATAATACTTAAAGTTGACAAAAGTATAGCATTTGGAATCATTGTAGCGCTTCGACAACATCAGTTGGACAACATGATGTCGTCGACTGATTAACGTCGTCACCGCGGATCGAACCCGGAGACTCACGGTTAAAAGTCAATATCACTAACCGACTCAGCTGTAGAATCGACATACGTGCTGCATTCTGAGCCTTCTCCATCTTCAACGACAACAAAGAACTCTTCTGCACGTTTAAGGGTGTTCCCCCGGAACCTGACGGCACTAAAATGAGCTCCTATGAAACCACAAACCATCAGCTTACCTCAACATGAGCACGAATACGCCAATGACGACCATGAAAAATCCCGTAGACACAGCTTTCTCCAAACCGTCTAGAATAGCCCACCTGTCCGCCCAGGCTTGTATGCTCTCATGAACAAACATTCGAACAACTCAAACTACGTGACATTGGACGATTCGGCGAAGTTATGGTACAAAGCAGAGATTGGCAAAATCTACAGTGTGTGATTTCTAACGACCATACATGCGAGAACACAAAGAAATGTACTCACTAATGTCACACCAGCTCGAACTGTTGTAGGAGTCGACGCATGCGTGCAAGGCATTCACTGGAGTCAAGTGAACTAGACTATTGGTATTATCATTTTATTTCTCTAGTCTAGACTTATTGATATTCAAGAAAATTTCTTGAGTTCGATCCATCGGCTATCCTTACGTGCCCTATATGGCCGACAACGGCTCCGATTCCTCAAATATACAAACATCCACCTTTGCATACCGACTCTTCAAACAACGGCGATATGTTACTCGAACATATCGCGGTCGAAAATGGGAAATTCAAAACACATTTTTCATTCATAAGATGAGCCGACATATATTTTCCCGACACTCAAATCTACTCAACCACAACAAGTAACAAAATATGAAAACCACACAAACAACCTAATCTCTATGATGGCGATTTTTCTTATTCTTTTTACTAGCCGAAGCCGCTATAGCCGCCACTCCACCAACCACCAGTGCTCCCGTTACAAATCCCAACACGCCAGCTGCGAAACCATCATCTGAGCAGTTAAATAAATAATAATAGATTATCCATGCAAAACGTAAAAATTCTGAGGAATTTTCGGCAAACTCTTCGTTGTTTTTCTGTACACTTCTACCCGAGCTCCCAGACAATCCTGAGCTCAGCCGAGCTCAGGAAGCAAACATGTGTTCTCCAACACTGCGCATAAGACTTTTAATTTCCGAACACATCCATTTCGCCACTTCAAAATTTCAACTCCGCGAGGCGAGCGAGTTCGTGCGCGATAATACCCAAATAGGACGTAGTTTTTAAACTTCGAACCAACAGAGACTATAGTCAGCCAGTTTACAACTAGAGCTAATTCCGTCGAGAAAACTTCACGACTCGGAATATCATGTTTTCTCGCACAGACTCTACAACCCCTCCGGATGACCACCATAAAAATGTAAAAATGCCCTCATACGTTCATACGTGCCTACGAAGTATCCTGTTTTACGATAACGTTTGTTTTCCGAAGAAAAAGAGTATCAGTTGAGGTATTCGGGGCGGAGACAGTGACTGAGCCCGCAGCTATACCTCTATACTGGCTATTACTCGCCTGGTAGAAGGGGTGCTACACAAGAAGAAGTAGAAGTTTATAACAGTAACAGTATATAACATCGAATTCTCTGCCGTGTAACACACTATCTACCGATTCATACTGCGGGCTCAGACAGCAATGACTGAGCATGCAGCTATACCTCTATACTGGCTATTACTCGCCTTGTCGAAGGGGTGATGGGCAAGAAGAAGTAGGAGTTGGGGTACTATATATACGCAAAACTAACGATGATTCTTTATGCTATATAGGATGCTCTCTATGCTGATATATATGTTAAATACTATTCTCACCTTTAACACAGCCAGCAGTAGCCTGTTCATCATTTTCGATGCCTCCTGGGAAATGTGGCATGTTCACATTAGGACAACAATAATCATCTAAAGCGTGCCATGGACAAGTACATGTGTTGGTGATGACAATGTGAAAATTTTGAGAATTTATTATTGCACATTTCTACTCGAATTCGCATGTCAACTTCATGCACTCCAACAGCTAAAGAAAGCGAGCTTATATTCTAACACTGTAAACGTGTAATTCGTGTTTTAATATACGATTGTCTACCTCCAGTTGCGACATCGGATAGGGCATAGTTGGTGGTCACTTTGTCTAGAGTGCACTCCTTACGGCAGAATCTGACATATAACGGACCTAATTTGTATCTTGCACGGTCAACCTCAAGATACGCTTAGATACTTACGGACATTCAAAACTCCACTTTGACCAAGACTGTGTTATTCGCTTCAAACACGATACACATAACGTGTGGCCGCAACTGGACAGAACCTGACCTAATCTGTATCTTGCGTAGTTGAACCTAAGATACCTTAGGCACATGCGCTCTACCATTGTACGCATGTGAACATATTCGACATTCTATGGCTGCTGCGGGACTCCGCGAACTGGTAGAAAACGATGACATAGGAACACAGAATCAATACTAGTGTAATATGCAGTGTGGGGGGAAAGTACGCACATGGTCAACTACATGTGTGGGCGCAATATGAAAATTTTGGGAAATTCTCATTCGTTTCCGTACTATTCCTTCTTAGAGGAAAGTCGTAGTAGACTAAGCACTCAACAAATGCCAAAGTCACATTGCACATTGCTGAGAAAGGGGCTGGGCAGTAAATGTCTTATTTACCGTGACACTATTCCTTCTTAGAGGAAAGTCGTAGTAGACTAAGCACTCAGCAAGTGCCGAAGTGATGAAAGCCGTAAAGCTTCTTATGAATGACTGAGCTACGTTCGTACGCAAACTCAATGAGCGGAGCGAAGTGATTTTCTTCCCATGAAATGGAACAGTACATTTCTACTACCCCACTTCGTATATAAACTCCTATAAAAAGTGAGGAAAGCGAACATATGTTCGAACACCAGTAATATGGCAGAGAAAAACACAACCATTATTTACCAAATTTTGGTAGCTCCGTCATCAATCAAAAACGACTCGTTAGACTTGAAGAATTTTCAGACAGCAAGTTGACATGAAAAAAATCCTGCAGTTGCACGAACAGCGCACATTTTTGCCATTTCCGAATTACCCCGTAAACGAATTGGAATTGAATTTATATTATCAATTTTTTATCATTGGAGTTTCACAACCCGTTTTTCGCGAAGTGGCCTGAAAACTCTGTGAAAAACTAGCGATATTCGCGATGATATGCAGTAGTCGTGGAATATGTTTTTCATATCACTAGAGTGAAACTTCATAAGATTCAATTTATATTATTTTCTATTATTAGTTTCAATTCATATTTTTAGAGGACTATTATTCCCAGAGAGAACAATGCCTCGATAAAGCAGACTTAGTGGAACGACATTTTTGAAGAGTATATGTCTACGTCTACTATGCGGATCTACGTGAGGCTTGCTGGAACGACATTTTTGAAGAGTATATGTCTACGTCTACTATGCTGATTTTCGTGAGTTGGCATATATATCGTATAACTTAAAACCTCAAGAAATTGCCAAGACTTCAAATGCTCCTCAGTTTCAAGAGCTCTGTTAGTGATTTCCCTATCGATATAACTGCACGTGAATTCCCTATAAGGCTATCTATTCATCATAAGCTCAGCTAAGGAAATCATTCACCCTAGAGAGACATATTGTGTGCTACCGGAGAGCGACTAAGATGATGCAACAGCTCTCCTACAACTTCCAAGGTTTACATGTTGAATTTAATGGAGTTTCACGACCGTAGCGATATGAAAAACATATTCCACGACTATTGCATATCATCGAAATGTTGGTCCTAGAAATGTACAACAAGTTGTTGTACATTCATTTCTCAGCGTTGCTGTCAACAACCAACAACAGCTGTATGCATGATACTTGTTTGTTGATAACAGTGAGAAACCTGCCGAACAGTGTGGGAGAACATGCGCATGTTCAACTACATGTTTTGTGACGATATGGAAATTCTGAGGCGATTTCGGTAGCGTTACGTTTGTGGAACGCAAGAACTGGCGAGGAGGATATAAGTATACAAGAAGAGCTATGGCAACGGGAACTACATAGCTTAGCTGAGGGGGACAGGTCTGTGTGTGTCACCACACGTTACTCAGCATCATCACTTTGAGTTCTTAGCATTCGGAACCATATCTAAACTGGGTACGTATGAGATTAGATTTTCTTCCGGGTGCGCTCTTTCTCGTCGGGATGAGCTCATGGTGTGGTATTGGGAGGATTGGGCGTGAAATTTATTCTAGAGCTTTCTAGAAATGTCATGATGAAGTATATATCATATTGCCGATAAGCTTCGCTCTCTTGAGAGTTGTATACTGTACAACAGAGATCACTCCTGACACGTGGTGGCGTTTTGCAATTTTCTCATCAAATTGTTGACTTTTTATTCCTCGATTTTCAATCCGATATGAAATTTCAAGAGCATGAATCAGTGTTGTAATATATGTTCGCTTCCCTCAGCTGGCCTTAGGAGTTTCCTCACTGATTATAGGAGTTTATATACAAAGTAGGGTAGGATTGTACATGAATCAACCAGAATTTCCAAAAATTTTCTCCCAGAATTTTAATATGGTCACCAACATATGTGGTTGACCTTGTGCATGTTTTCCCACACTGACATGAATGCGACAACACTGTGAAATCTGAATTGTGTTTTCTTTCAGAACAACATTACGTCTCTACTGAGGTCGTCAAGAAGTATCCGACATGGAAAAAGTAAGCCCCAGGATTTGAACTTGGGACCTTCGGAATGCTAGCCTTGCCCGGTTTCGGTTCTGCTGTAACGGCACTGATAATTTCAGCATTTCTCATCGCGGTCAATAGTGCACGACGAAGGCGTTTCTTGTTGATCAATTTCATAACATGATGGATAAGTTTACTTCTCTCCAATGCGATCCACTTTGCCCGAAATCGCCACAACTCCTCGCTCTACCAAAACGAGTCGAACACATCTAGAATCGTTGTACGGAACACCATCGTTTTCATCACTGTACGCAGACCAGGTGAGAGATCTTGCAATCTTGACAAATCTTGCATTTCCTCAACGTTTCAGCCTGATGATGAACCTGGACCCGGTCAGTACGGCCCTTGGTCAGCAATTGGCCAACAGCATTTAAGTCAACACGCGAGCCCACCGACCGCGAAAGTGTTTGGTCGGAATAGGAAAAGTTGCGAACAGATGTGGATATCAAAACACCATTTGGGAGAGCTTCTAGGCAGAGACACGCCTGGCGCTGGAACGTATGATTTTTCCACGCAAACATTTGGAAAGAGAAATTCGATGAAATTCGGAGGCGCGCGACGACGAACTGAGTTTGGTCAGCCTAGCGTCAGTCCCGGACCGGCGTACGACACTCGCGGGTCAATCGCGAGAACGGCATGCAGAAGTGGGAGTGCGTTACGGAGGGCGAATAGATATGCATTGGATGATGTGGAGAGGGCAATGAGAGCACACGATGTCTGTCCCGGCGAGTAAGTTTATTCTTATCGAGGCGATCTGTATATAAAACAACCCGTGAAAAGAACAATATTAATATCATTCATACGTATGTATGTTGCCACCATCGAAGAAAAGATGATAAATTCTTGAGTTTGATGGTGTTGATTTATATCTGTTTGGTTTCTCCAGCCGAGCCCTTTTCGTTGTAATACTAAAATCGTCTGCATTAATAATTACATGATTTTCTTATTGGAGTTTCACCCTAGTGATATGAAAAACACTAGTGAAAAACATATTTCACGACTACTGCATATCACCGCGAATATTGCTAGTTTTTCACGTGGAGTATTACGCTACGTAAAGCGGTTGAAAGTCCACTATAACTGCATGAGTTTTGAATTTTTTTCCGCGCAACGAATTGAATTCTTTATGATTTTCAAAAACGTCCTTCGCATCAGTTACGACGTTGTTGCCCCTGGGCGCAAACTGGATGAGAGTTTTGGTCGAAGTTTTGGTATCAGTCATAGAGCTTACGATAAGACATGTACGCCTGGTTTCGAAAGGGAACTGCTCGGCAGAGCCAGTCCCGGACCGGGGTCTATGACTTTAGATTTTGCAAAAAACGGAAGTACTCCAACACAGTAGGATCTCACCGTGAGGATTACTTCATTTAGGACTTCACGGCTTTGCCCGTTCGCAACGTCATCATGAGGGCGGCTCGAGATGTGGGACCGGCGGTCCTGGTCCGGGAACTTACAGCGTTCAGAATGTGCGTTTGTTGAGAGGGGCTATATCGCCCTGTGGAACAGTGTGGGAAAATATGCTCATGGTTGGCCACATATGTTGGTGACAATATGGAAATTCTGGGGAAAATTTCCGAAATTCTCGCGGGTTCCTGTACATTTCTACCCTAGTTCGTATATGAACTCCTGTAGTTAGTGAGGAAACTCCTAGGGTCAACTGATGAAAACGATCATATATTACACTACTGCTGTGGAAAGCCAATTGATTGGGCTGAAACTCATCCAGCATCGATACGATTCAAACTTAGCCGCGTTGTCCAACTCACATACACAGTGTCGTTCGCATCAGAAACGACGAATTGGATATATTTTATATAATCGTCGGTCGGCGAGCTCTGCTTTTTCTGCGTTCGCTCGTTTAGTGATTTCTGAACGATCACAGCAGTTGAACTCTCCGGATGCATATCATCCAGCAGTGCGTTATTCAAGTATCGCGCAAGAAATACGAAACCGCTTTAAACCATGTGTATTGGCCACAACTCTTGTGCGACTCGTAAGCGGAAAATGGTGGAAAAAGTGCGTACCGGGAATCGAACCCGCGACTATTTCCTCACCTCGAAGGTCAAGTGTAAATTTGTGATATAATATAAAAATTTATATACGTTTAAGAACGTCGTAGTTTAGTATGAACTGTGGTAGACTACGACGTTTTTCAGCAAATATTATCTGTTTTAATCAGCGAGCGAATAATTCCGTGTGATATCTTTTCACCAGGTTATAAACGTTGGTCGTCTTCGTTGTTTTGAGTCATCACGACGCAACCCGCCACGGACTAGTTTTGGTAAGCCCGCACGGAAAGGGCGGATCGACTTTAAAGCCCTCCGCATTCGAGACGAGTCTCTGAGACTGGATGTGAGTTGTTGAAAGGTGCATCGCTCCGCTAAGATTGTTGTTTTATTCAGGCGCGAGCGGCGTTGAGGTCGGCACCGTCGAGACGCATTATTGTTTGAGCATGTTGATTCAGTTGTTCGCGTTAAACGATATTGTGTTGTTCTTGTGAGTAAAGATCCATCCGTGAAAAATTTTTCCATCTGTCTTCTCCTTCGTGGAAAAAGTCAACTGATGAATATTAAAACTTAATAAGTGGGAAGCAACGCATAAGAGGGACACATGCTGAGAGCATGAGTATGAAATGATAATTTGGGAAAAGAAACCCGAAAATGTGAGACTCTGACGCACGATTATATCTACGTAGCTTAGATAATAAATATTAATCACGATGTAGATTTTGGAATGCACTGAAGAGAGTAGAATTAGAGCGGAAAGAGGCGTTTAGAATGAATAGGTAGAAAGTAACGTATAAGAGGGGCATATGCTGAAAATGGGGGAGTATGTAATTAGAATTTGTGGAAGAGATTTTGAATTGTGAAATATTAACGCACGATTATATCCACCTAGCTTAAAAGTATTAATTAATCATAATCTCTATTATAGATATTCTCTACGACAAATCCAATGTGAAAATCATGAGCTTGGTAACCTCCTGATCATCCCTGTCGAAGCACGAGACGAAAAACTACATTTTAACATTCATTAATTTATATACAACGTAGAGATGAGGTCGTCAACAAAAGTTTACTAGAAGTAGGAAGAACCAGTAGGGAGAATGTAACTCTGCATTGAATTATACTACTACGCGAATGCGAAGAAATATCAACGCTAGCATTTCTGTTGTGATGGAATTGTGTAACTGTTTTATGTAGTCGATATTGACCTGTGAGAGCTAGCTCTACTCTAAGACTTAATTCAAGAGTTATTGTGATACAGTGCTAATTGATACTATGCAAATACGAAGAAATATCAACGCTAGCATTTCTGTTGTGATGAAATTGTGTAACTGTTTTATGTTTTATGCTTCGCTCGCTCCACAATTGCTGCGTGTCACAGCCCATATTTTAGCCTAGCGTCAAGTGAGCCTACTATTGATTAATAACTTCCTCTACTTTGGCGACTGTTAGGATTAGATAACTCAACAAGAGTTATGAACAAGTGATTCTTAACTAATGATCAATACAGTAATCATAAAGTATACGCTAGGCTAGCAAGGGAGACTAGTATCACAAGAATCTAAAATTACAGAAGACACTTGTGTACAATATTTCCTCACAGCGATGGACAACAATGTGATCCATTAGTAAGCAATTGATCAGAACTGCTCCGCAATTTAGGATGGTGTGAATCGGCCGAAACTATCAGTCTGCTGCTCTAATTTTTGTCAGAGTCATCAGCCTCGGGGGTTAACATAAATTGAGTTTAAAACCAAAACAACTCCTCCTTCTACGAGACTCCGAGTAATTAACATTGTATTGTACGTAAATATCATTTGTTACGTTGACATTCGTGTGGTATCAACTTCTTCCTTTTCCGCGACTGCCGCTCCCTTCTCCACAGAGTTCGCCTCAGCTTCTCCAGAAGGTGTTTCTGCTTCGCTGATCGGCTCAACGATAGCAGCCATTTGTTGGTTCAGCGACTGGAAATACTTCTGGGCGTGAGATCTACCACAGAAAAAAAACTTCGCTCCGCTGTACGACGAAGAGCATTTTACCGTATTTGAGCGCGAGTTCGCGTTCCAACATGTGCATGTACTTTCTGCCAATCTCGTCCATAGAGACCTACTGCATCTACGAATCTGAAAATTCGATGATGAATCGGAACATTGCACAGTGTTATATACTTCCTATTTATACCGTCAACATGAATACCATAATTTTTGCTACTTTGAGCAAGGCTGCGCATTTGTCCTTACTCACTAAGTAATGTCATTTTAATGCAGTTTCACCCGTTTTACGTAAATTGGCGTACAACTCTGTGAAAAACGCGATATTCGCCCTATGTAGTAGTCGTGAGAAATGTTTTTCACTAGTGTTTTTCATATCATGTATAACGATCTCGTGGTGCATATTTGACAATTTTTTCCATTTATATTTGTATATTTATCTCTTTCTATATCCCTTTTACTGGCCGAAGCATGATCTTGTCGCATTAAGAAAATACTCGAGTATTTTATCGCAGTTTACGGTATACAAACACGCATTTTTACAAAATCCATACACCTTGGAGTTTCACAACCGGTTTTACGTGAAGTGGTTTCATACTCAGTGAAAAAAACCGATATTCGCGGTGATATGCAGTAGTCATGAAATATACTTCATATCACTAGGGCAGTCTTCCATTGATTCTCGCGATAGCGTAATACAGCCTTATTACCGTTGATTCTCTTCTGCTGTCCATCTATACGGACCCGACTGCATCCCAGTACTCGATTCGCTTGGAGGCGGCGGGGACGAGGGCGGTGTTGATGATGATTCAACTGATGATGCTGTTTCACGTAGGATTTCCTCGATGTTGATTGGTGGAGGGGGCTCACGGATAACCTCAGTCTTAATGGTATGTCTGAGATATAGTTCAATGAGATAACGGGCTAAACTAACATTCGAACCACCAGGGTTCGACCCCTGCTTGTGACGTACCGAGGAACAGCTTTTTCAATCCGTGGTCGCTTCTTAATCACTCCACTTTTCCATTCTTCGGCGAGAATCCAACCTGAAAGTAGGACACCGAGTAAAGTATAGTATCTCCGGAGTGATAATAATAATAATCATACTAATACCAACACATCTGCTACTTCCCAGTTTCCTCACCCTATCTACTACTATTGATTTTCCAATCCGATTATTACCTCGTTTCTTCTTATGAGCGGATCTTGTAGTAGTTCCTCGAGTTGTCTCGTCCGTCGCCTTACAACATTTATCCACCATTTTCAAGTACCCCCGTCTCCCCATAATGACCTCCATTCCTGGCGGCAAGTACCCCGAGAAACGAAGCCCAGGACATTCATCACAGCGACCGTCCTCACGAGCCATCGCCTTGGCAGCAGCACGTTTCGAACAACGTAGTTTCCGATGCTGGTAATTCGACGAGTCATAGGCCTCGTCGTCGAGCTCATCGTGTGGTGACGCCTCTCTCGTGTCACCATCAAGCGAGCCCAACTCGCTCAGCAACTGTCTGGTCTCGTCCTCCAGTTTGAGTACAGATAATCGCCTCAATTGGCGCGGACTTGAAATCACACTTGAAAACGCGTCGGCGTGAAAAAAGCGCGCGCCATTGTAATCGATTACGCTGGCACGATCGATATCACACAGTGCGTTCGCGAGGTGTTTCTACCATCGCAACTCAGTAAGGCGATCGGCTATACTTTCCGAACAGACCCTCATCGGTTTCTCAGGCAGTACGAAGACTTTCAAACCGGAATCCCGGCGAAAAAGTAGGCTACGGTCGAACCATCATTTACTCTAGTACGCCAGTGTGGAAAAATGTGCACATTCTGAATAGAATAGACTTAGCCATTGAACTTAGGCTTATAATTTCTCGCCGAAATGAGCGAGATGATATGTTGCTCACTTACAACATCGCATGACATGTGATGTTGTAAGTGAGCTGTGAATGGGAGCTCTGTTGACACCGTGGATTCTACGAACCTCTCGAACTACTCGGAACTTCTCGACATTGCAACATCAATCTTTTAGCGTCGTTATTTGAACGCTTGTAGACTTGCGACATGTTCAACGAATGTTGTGGTTTGAAATCACTATATCTGAGCCTTGTGAGAGTTTTAGCCTGAAACACGAATTATTAGAAAGCTAAATCTACAACTTTGCCTAAATAAATTCGCTCTTTTCATGTGTTGGTGGCAGTATGAAAATTCTGAGGAAATTCCATAATTAGCTTTGGAAACTCCTGAGCTCAGCTGAGGAAAGCGAACATATATTCATACTCCAACATTGAAGTTCATCTTAACCGTCAGTCGCCCTCGCAGCAAGAGCCGGGGGCACGGCTGAGCGAGTGGACGATGAAGACGTTGGCGGCGATCTGAGTAGCTGTGGAGTCAATGGCTACTCGGCTGACGACTGCGATGAGGTTTTCAAACTGGTGAGACCGGGAATCACTCACTGAATATAACTCGTTCAAGGCGGTACCAGTCAACGGCGCGATTGACCAACTACACTTGTGCAGACTCTGCACAAGCGACGCTATGAGAATGATTATTTTAGATAGTCGTTATCATTATGATGTGATGCATGGTGATCATGGTGTGATGCATCGCGATAAGTAATTTATTCGTCGCAATGCATCACAAGTTCAGTTCTACACACCATACTATCTGATATTCTTTGCCGCGCAATACCCGCGCCAGGTTCAATACCGGGGTTGGACATGTGCCGAAAAGTGCAATTATTTTTTTTCGAAAATCGGTTGCGGACAGGTTCCATGCAATATGAGGCGGCCTTACATTCAAAATCTCAGCTTCCAAGTCTTTCTGTAGAAAAGCTACCTCAGCACACGTATTTTCGATTTCTAGATGGCGCGCAGTACGCGCCGCGTCCAGTACCCACATCCTTCTGTAAGGAGGCATCAATCACACGTAGGTTGATAAAGACGATAATGGCTACATCGACGCCGGTAGTATTCGATCGGCGTTGATAAACATCTGTGGCCGCCGATTTGAAGATGTAAAAAATGAGGAAACCATCGAGATGGTGAGCATCGCGTTTTACTGAACACCGTTGAACTGAATCCCATAGGAATTTCGATGAACCGAGCCAACTAGAGGTGTCAAGTGGGTTTCTATTTCGGAAATATCCGAAATATACCCACGACTCTCAAATTCCCAAGAAATATAACGAAAATAACAGTCTTCGCCTTGTAAGTGCCGGCCAATGTCTCTAGGGTCGACAAAAATGTAAAAGAACTATTTTACGAACGAGTTTGTACGACACGACTTGTTCGTAGATTCGGATGCTTGATACCACCGGCAATGGACGTGTATCTAGATCTGAATTCTTAACCGTCCTTGGGGACCGAGATCATACCATCACTAGAGAAGCTGATAGGTAGACCAGGCTGAGCCTTGAAACTTTGGCGCTAGTTCGAAGCGCGATTGGTGTCACTCAGGCTTCTAGCTGAGCAACACCGCAAAGAAGAGGCAGCGAGAAGCTATCATAGACAACATGTTGAGAACAGAACAGCTGTGGCCGCCACGGTATCGAGTAAAAACCATAAACCTAAGGTCAGTCATCATCTGCATATGTCGCTCTAGAATGGATCGCCCATTGGAATTCAGCGCCATGAAGTGTCGATATATGGGTTGAGAGAATCCTGGGTGGATCCGCACAATCTTCCCTCGCTTCCATTCGTCCACTGCAATTCAACGAGTCGTGCTGCACGGCAGACCCTCGTGAAGCAGAGTCTATCATCCTCATCAGGATAATACCCCTATTACTCCACCATTATTACTATTTTCCGTCAATTACTCAGCATTGCCTCACTTAGTGAAAAAATAATGACGTACACGCATTGATTGGCTTAGCCAGAGATTGTAGATAACTTAGCTGTCTCAATGGATGCGCTATCACAACCACATCCTTGGTTGAGGTGCGTATTGCGAGATGGTCGTATGATTTTTTTGAAGAAAGAGAAATCCGTGGGGATATGTTGGTAGACTGCTGACAAATTCTCTCGGGATACTAGGACTTGAAAATACTGGTGTAAGAGAAGAGCAACCAATTCGTTCGTACCTTGCACGCATGCTCTTGCACGCTCATGCTTCGTAGCAAGAATTGTGGACACTGAATAAGGACTACCTTTACTCGAGTGAGAGAAAAGTCGAAGGGATTTCTGAGGCATAAACTTGTACACAATATAAGCACTCAGAGAGCAAAACTACTTGGAGCTTTTATTATGCTGATTTGTCGTGTCCAGAGTCGCGCATTGACCAAGACGGCTATGCAATTCGGGCAAGCTGGAGACCGCGATAAGCAAGCGCAGCTCCCCCTGGCCGCGATGGCTGGTGTCGAGAATGAGAGGCGACGCTACAGCGTTGGAGATCAGCGAGTTACCTCAGTCGCAAAAGAAGACGAACAATTCGATCCGTCCTTGACAGATTTTGTAAGGGACAGATACGGCAATTTCGAAATCAGTCTCGACAGATGCATAGTTTAACCAGTCAAAACGGTGGAGAATTAAAGGGCGATTTTATACAGCGGTTATTCACGCGTTTCAAGACATCTGATGTGCATCGGCCAGGAGAACTAGACTACGCAAAATTCTGCCAGGTATACATGAACAATAGGCCATTATTGACACACAGTGTATCAGATTCTTGAGCGCGATGGTAGTCGACAGATGGAGATGATATTTGAATTATTCGATCACAACGAGAAAAGCGCAGTGGATGTGCGCGAGTTCTTGGTCGGCATGTGCAACTTCACTACTATACCAGCGTGAGAACATTCATCGATCTATAGGCTTGTCGAACGGAGTTCACCTGCAGAACAACGAATATAATCGCTTGTTACTCGGATTTCTGTTCGAGTATTATCGGCAATCAACTATGGCGCGATTCTCACACGAATCGATGAATCCTTCGAATGAGCAACATATTTAAGGCGTTCCCTCTCATCAGGATCGAGAGGATGAGATTCGCGTTCCTACTGTTCGACGATAGTGGCTCTGGCTATATAGGGAAGGAGGACCTCGGACGAATAATCCGAGCTAATCTGGCGTGCACAGGAGCCGGTAAGGAAGCGTCGTGGGCAGTCACCACTGATAACTTATCACAATTACCCGTGATCATCTGAGGTCGTGGAGTATCTAGTTTACGACGTTAACAACACAACCTACTTGTCTGTAAACTTTACGAAAAGTTAACTCTGTAACGAATGAGAAGAACAAGTCGATATTTTTTCACTGAGTGGTTCTCCTCAATAATTTCCTTCGCAGCCCCCGAGGAATCAAGATTCTTAGTCATAATATGAACCTGAGTAACGTTCCATCCGTGGGCTATGGTTGGCCATTAGCCCTAGTATTATCCGATTCACACATATATGCAGGCACTACTGCAGTCGCAAATCATCCTAGAGGGATGAGTTCTGTAGTCGAACTGGCTGACTGTTCAACAACGTTTGAAATCTATGCTCCATCATTGAACATGGATTCCAAGTTGAATTATTAGTCATGTTGAATGAGCACTATGGAACCACCGTATGCACACTTGTGTGTTGTACAGTTCATAGTACTATACGCTCTATTAGGACTGAGAAAACCGAACCAGGATCGGCGAGTTAGAGCCGTACTGGCTGCGGCTGGTCCGAATGCATCACAAGACGAACAACTTCGGCTACAGGATTTGATCAATGTCTGCCGGTCGAATCCCGGACTACTATTCTCGCCGGCTCAGGTGAAAGCCCACTCGACTGATAGCGACTTGTTGTTGTTATTGTAATGGAGACGCGTCTTCTTCCAGTCGTTTCCTCCCCAGAGACTTTTCGTTTTTGTGTCAGGCCAAGCAGATCGCAGAATGATTCGAGTGAGAGCGGTAACCTCCTTTCTTTGTATATTGTTATGTTGTGTTGTGGATACGGCGATGTTGAGTTATCGACCAAATCGATTTCTGAGTGGTACAGCGATTTCAGAACCTACGTGGCACTTCACTATTGGGGTTTCCGCTCGATTCGACGTATCATCAGCGTTAGAGTCACCTGCTTACCATGTAAAGCGGAATGTAAGATCTGTGGGAGCATAAGCTTCCTCCTCCCCATTCTGGCTAACGCAACGCAGGGCTTATCATTGAAGCTTGTCGTTTGACTTAACACTAACGAAAAGCCTCCAGATTTGTCCGAAGCTTACCATGATGTGTTCATCTACTATGACGACGTCACCGCCGCGTAGTGTTATCAGAGCTCGACAGTTCATCAGTGAACTCGATGACTTCATTCGAGATTCTAACGTTCAGAGCATCCCGAATCCTTTACAGGAGGTGAGGCTTTACATTAACGAATCGAGACACCTCTGGCATCCCTCTTACTCGAGTCTTCTTTAATTGAGTCGATTATACCACTCCGGGACCCGGAGTCCGGGTTGTGCCCTCTATCCTACGGCAATTCCATATCATTCGATATTCATGATATTTATAGTGGCTTCAGTGTTGGTCTCAGGCTGAGACTTCTACACTCTTCCTTAGTCAAATATAAACTCTCGTCGATCAGTTTAAAAGCTGTCCTGAATCGGGTTTTGGATGCAAAACTTCCAAAAAGTTATCATTTGATCGAGAAAAGATGCAGCTCTTCCATAAGAACCATTCACTGCAGTCGACCACTACAGTGGATGGTTCATTTAGTCGTTATTCACCACTCCGGATGAACGCGCGTTTGTATGTGAGTAAATGGCGTCATGATCATGTTGTGAATCTGATGATATACTGTTTTTTATCAAGGCGCTCGCCCTGCAGAGATCAGCTATACACTCGCTCGTTGGCATCGCCAATCTCCTCGAGACCAATGATGAATTGCGGCGCTCCGACAGCATTCGAGCGAACAATGGCACCATCGAAAACCTCTTCAAACGCATCACTTCCGCAAACCATGATGATGCCGACCTCTACGAAAGCGCGAGGGAGCCTGTTGACCTGAGCGACGTCGGTTCGGATACTTGTGAGCTGTAGGATCGTATTGTTTCGACTGAGGGGAGTTAGATCACTTCAGGGCGCCGCTCGTCCCAGCAGTTGAGGGAGACCCCTCTGATGATGACTCGTTGGTAAGTAGTTCAGAAGAAGGGCGAGGATGGAGTGATGAGGTGACTGATGTGGACATGAATGGTATGCACACACAGTATGCAGACGTAGTTCGATTCGTCAATACTATCCTATGAATGAGTCCATCTTGATTTGGTTGTGGAACTTTCTTATGCTCATCTCTATGCAACCCATGGGGTTTCAATTGATCAAAACGTTCGTTTAGGAGGCGGAAGCGTTCGAGAAGTTCGAAGAAGCACTCCAGAAAAAGCAACACTGCAAAGACGATAAAGTTGTGGCGACTCGTGAATAGAATAATTGGCATTTTTTGTTTCTAGTCCGCTAAAACGTTATTGTGTGGTGAGTTGATTATCCCCAATATAAGTCAGCTAAGAGTAGTTGCCGATCGTGAACGGGGAACACACCGTCGCTTACGGGGGTAGCATCTGGAGAAGATGAGGTGTCCATATTAATATGGTCATATTTTTGATTAGGGACGGACGGAGAATAATTCTCCATCCCCCCACCCCCTGATATATAGCACATCAGGAGGAGGAAAGATACGAGAGAATGAGAAAATGATACGATTGTGCGCTGTGTGATGACGACGAGATATCGATAAACTGAACCTAAGTTGAGTATCGATTCCCCATCCCGAACAATTACATTCATGTTTGTTAAATCTCTTGCTCTCCTATGAGACCGAGCTATGCCGGCCACATCCTATGAGCCCACAATGAGAAGAATGGTTCTAGTACACGCGCAAGCCCTGTCTTCGTCTGTGATGGCAGCACAGTGATGCGCACAACAAGTTTAGACGCTTAAATTGCGATAGTCGCTCTTATAGTGTCTGTCTCTCATCATTTCCCACCTTCCTGATCCCCTAGTCTAAGTCTGTCTTGGCTATACTCCTACTATGTCCTCCCTATTGCTTGGTTGCTATTGTCGTTACACCAATCATGTTTTTGTGCGGATCGGCATGCTTACCTCACGTTTTTTTGAATCGGTTGCGCCAGAGGCCTAAATTCGTTTGTGGAATACTCCCTATCTGCAGCATCCTTACCAACCTTATCCCCAAAATGTTCGCTACTAATCTCATCCTGGTTCAATCCCTTATGGTATGTATCGGTGTATATGCGTGGGTTTTACCTACTATCGCTATGGACCCACCTAATTGTTTTAAAGACTCAACAAGCCGCCGTTATAAACTGGGTCCATGTTACTACGTTCGGGGGAATGGTACTCTGGTTAACGCTGGGGCGATCCTAGTGACCCCGGTCGTAGCCTCGGGTAGGCCGTTCTGGGCCAACTTTGAGCTGTTTGTCATGCTCTCGAAAGGATCCTCAGTTCCGACTGGTGTCGGCATATATACCCAAGGAGGAAGCCTTTACACGGTTAACCTTCCCAGTAAGATTACGGTGGAAACAGGCTTCTATGCCGACAGTAACTTTCAACTAGGTGGAAAGAAAACGTCGGATGGATTCAGGTTGGACTTTCCCGTGTTCATCAAGGCTACGGTTAAGGTCCCTTACATTGGAACACTTGTTCTCCCTTTGGTAAAGCAGAACGGATTCGCTATTGTGAGTGACAAGGGCGAACCACATCATCTAATCGCCAGGGCTATAACTACAGGCAGTGATGGTGGCTTAACGGCTAGCATATCGATGAACTTCGAGATAGGTTCAGTAAATCTTCTCCATTGGCGTTACAGTAGCTTCATGAACATAAACATTTCTGGTAGAAAGGATGGTTTCAGCTTCACTTATGTTAAAAAAGTACCCCTTATATCCAAGAGTCTATAATGATCACTCGGGCGTCTAAATGTCATTAAGGAGCTTCTTCGTTCTCGCTCCCCTTTACGTAATCCGCAGAGTCTCTGATCGTGAATTTGACTTGATTTTGTCTATTGATTTCCGGCCTAATATCTTTCTAAGTCTGATTCACCGTTAGTAGCAAAGTAGTAATTTTTTGAGGTTTATCAGCTTTGTAGGTCCGGTAATCACAACAACATTCTGTCTTATCAAGATACTCGACAGTCATCCGGGATTACTCATCTTTTACTATCTGTATTATGTTAGTTGTTGCTACGTATTTAGTAGTACGTAGATCAGTTGGTGGAATAGGTTATCTTTCCCTTTTGGAACAAAAGTTATGACCCCCCTCATTGTTTTCGTCATTATCACTTCAGAAGACAGTGTTTGGTTACTATGAGAATCGTACATAGTAAATGCCTTCAACTATCTATCATTGGCGTATATTAAATAGTAGACAGTAAATAAGTATATTGAAGTTTCATCCGTGATATGAAATACAGTAGTAAGAGACACATTTCACAATTTACTTCGTGAAAAGCATTCTCGTTCACCGATAAATCAGAGGTCATAGCAGGATGGTTTCTAATGTGACGGTTTATGATCACTAAAATCTACAAAATAGTAGAGATACGAGTGGAATGCATCCTCCAACTGTTGGAGTCCAGCAGAAAGACAGGATTGGTCGACATACTCATATTTTCAACGATCCACATGCACGTGTGAGGAAGGATAATTGGTCTATTCTGACGATTTTTTTTCACTGGTAACTTGTGATCCTAACGAGATATTATTTTCCAATCGTTGTTTTCTATATTAACGACATATCTGTAGACTGATGATGCCTCCTAGGTTCGACGGATGATTTTGATATTCTGACCCAGTTTTGTTATTCTAACCCTAACTTTTTGTTCCAACGGAATTTAATGGTGAGCGGAAGGACAACAGTCCCGTAGTGCGAGTGAAATGTCACGCTAGGAGGGGTGCACCCATGAAAGACATATAACACAAGTGAAGTGCGCGCGCCCGTAAACGGTTTTCGAGTGTTGCAAAGCGGAAACCGAAGGTGAAACAAACCTTGAGTTGGATCATAGAGGTCTACAACGTGGATCGAGTACGGCTTTGAGGCCGAGCTCAACCACGAGTGTCGAGGGGTCCCTCGACGGGCCAGAATAATTCGACGGCGATGCCTTCATACTGGTCCCACCAGCATTTGGAGAACCGGGCAGGTATGTCCGGCTTCCATCCCAGGTGGGCCCTTCGCGCAGCTACGTGGGGGTCACGAGATCAATTGAAGGCATTGGTAGCACCTGATGTGGTCGGACCGTGTGTG